CCGCCGCCGCCGCCGCCGCCGCCACCCCACCACCACCCCACCACCCCACCACCCCACCACCCCACCACCACCACCACCACCACCACCACCACCACCACCACAACACCAAAATGACCTCTTAACCTTCTAACTAACGTGAAACATCAGCCGGAAACTACCACTTTCCATGCCATATGAAACTAGGATCTCAATAGATCTGAAAGCCCTCAGCGCTTGGGTACCTGGGAACCCTGTGACCCCCAAACTCTCAACCCCAACCATGAACGCGTGCTGGCCCCGCCCCACCCCCCAGAAGTTCACCACCGGAGCGCTCGGGGATTCCAAGGGCCGCGGTGAAGAATATCGACGCCACCTGCTAGATCAAAGGCTTCGCTGGGTGTCATGATTACCTTTATCGCCCGAACCGCCTGTACCAGTATCTGAATATGGTGTCCCCACTGCGACCTTTCTGCGCATGAAGAGCTGAGGCCTTATTCGACAATATTAGCAGCAGCACTATGAATATTTTCATCGATTCTGCATATTGGCTATGATGAGATAGAGCATGACATCATGACATACCTTCACCCCGCGGCCTCGCCAATGTTGGAAGAGATCAAATAGCGGATGACCTAAGAAAAAAGCAAGCTCGGCACTGCAGTCACTCTCATAATGTCTCTATAGGGTCAAATAGGCTAAATCCTTCTCCGCATGGACTCTGCCAGAACAGAATACTACCGGTGTGTTAGGACTTGTTGAAATTGGCTGCTTCTCAACCTGACGAATGTAAGCACCATAGCGCTGCCAACGGTGAAGCTATCAAACAGTCTCAGGCATACTCTCATCCGTTGAATCTTGAAACCTGCGGGTACGATGAGATGCGATGACCCGCACTTCAACCTATCCAATCAAACACGGTCGTGGCTAGCTCTGGAGCGTAAATTGGGAGGCCTGGATGATTCGCACAGCAGAGAATTAAATGGAAAATGAAATGGGGGCATATATGGACGGTTTACGGTTTACTTGGGGTTCAGGGCAATTAAATACGTAAAGCAATAATTCTACCTGTGCTTGTAACCCAACCAGAAACCTCCCTCACTCCTGTGATATGCTTACGACTGGGATGTACATTCAGCTATAACTAGGTTCTAATTGCCCCAAACCTCCAAGTAGGGATGGCTGAGGCAAGAACAGCCTTCATGTTCTTGTAGATTGACCGGCCCTGTTCCACAGCTGCGACAATGGTGGAGAAGTTGTCGTTTGCAAGCACCATGTCCTGGGATTGCTGCTGTGCATAGACGGGCTATGCAATCCCGCCAGCGAATTGAGCACTAGACATAAGACATTTTGGTGACCATGTCTCATCACAATCTCATTCCCGATGTGGTGTCTTATCTCGTGACCTCTTTACTCTTCAGAACATGATGGCTGAGCAGCAAGCACAAAATTGCTAGATCCTGCAATTTAGCCCGCAATCGTGAACAACTATTTGTCATTGGTTTTTTTGAGTGACCGACGCGCAGCTGTACAAGGGACCTGGAAAGTTCCCTTCATTTCTTTGAAGCTTTTGCTGCAGACAGACTTCTGAAGCCTCCTTGGCCACTTCAGTGCCGCCCATGCCCATGGCCACACCAATGTCAGCCTTCCGAAGGGAACATGTCACTGCAAGTGTCTCTGATATACTTAGATGCCAATTCAACTGGAGTAGTTTTTGAACATGTGTTCGACCGTCACCTTCACATGAATTCTGAAATCCCCCGGCCCACAACTATCGAATATTCCCGTTGTGGCTTAATATATTGGGAATATTCGCATTTGGGGAGGTTGGGGCAGTTTAGTATTAGAGGGATAGGATTACTAGGAACCCTGGACGCGACTGGGCGTTCGAACCTGCTTGAGAGCTGGCGCGTCGTTGACCCCATCACCGGTCCTTTGCATGCCAACATCATTCTGTCAGGCAAGGTAAAACATAGGGCACACGGAATTTCTTGGAAATGTCTTAGCTGCTCTGCTTTCAAAACGGTGATCGTTGCGATTCGGAACACTTCTGATCCGCACGCTAAAGCTTGCAGACTGCTGGAACCGCCCACATCCATAAACTCCTACACGAGGTCAGGTAGGCAATTGTTTCATCTGCGGTCCCCTGTGCTCACCCCAAAGCAAAGAGGCCCGCATTGGGAGGGCCAGTACCTTCTCCATCCTGCTAGATGCGAAAAGCACAATCCGGGAAACGCAAGCATTTGCGTGGTAGGGTTCTTGCCCTCACTCGGGATTTGAAAAAATATCAGCCCTAGCCTATAGCAGCAAAGCCAGCTACAACCCGCACTGTGCATAGGTATCCCCACAAGAAGTACCCAACCCAGCAGTCAACCGAAAGCTCGTCGACTCCACCCCCAAATCCCAGGCTGGGAAGGCCGGGAGGCATGGCAACGATCTCATCCTGCTCCTTCAGCATCCTCAGCCGGATCAGACTCACACCAGGTTGTTTTCACAGGTTAGGAAACCAGAGCCGTGCGGTTCAGCTCAGGGCTTGAAAATGTGCAGTTTACACGGAAAGCTGACATTCAGATTGTACAGGAAGCACGCAGGTCGAATTGTGGCTTACGTGGGAAGTATGTGGAAAATGTATTTTAAAAAAAGAACAGAAACAGAGGGGATATCTCTGCCAACCCTTGCAAAAGCTAGTCAAGAGCCATTATTTGAAGCCGATGCACTTCTGACTAGCATTCGTACTGAATTGAGGGAAGCGTTGACAAAATGTCCAAGACAGCATTCTTGCCCCAAACTGAGAGACAACGTCGTGACTGCCCGCTCACTTAAAAAAAAGCTCCGAGCTCCACATACTGGACCACACGCATTGCTTAGGGGTCCTTACTTTTTGGCATGCCGGACCATTTAAAGGCGCAGCCTTAATTACTGTCCACAACTTGAACTGTTACACATTACACACCTCGACTTTTGTAGACTTTCCAGAAATTCGTACTGAACGGAGATTGGGCACCTTGAACATTGGATAAAGAACTGCCTTTACAGCCTCAAAACGTTGAAGCCACAGGACTCCTGCAGAGGCACAACTCCTCACCTACTATACAAGCCCTAGAATTCGCATCTGGGTGCCCTAGGCCGGTAGAATTCGTGTAGCGAACCTCGCATTGCCAGAAAGAAGCATTTCCCTGAAACTTGAAACAAAACACCTATACCCCAAATTCAAACCCTTTTGCTCTTTCTGGGATGAAACCCCAAACTCTGAAACCTGTAAGACTCCTTAAACCCCCCTGAACCCCTAAAAACCCCTGAAGCCCTAAGACCCCTATATAAACCCTAGTTTTGTGCAACCTTTGCAGGCCGTGAAAGCCCAGCGGCTTGACCACGATCTGCTTGTGCTTGGGCTCCATGCCTCTGCTTTTGCTTGGGTTTGGGGTTTTGGGCTTTGGGTTCAGAAGGTTTTAAGGCTTTGGAATGAGGGTTAAGAGTTTAGGGTCGAAGGTTTAGGGTTTTAGGAGTTAGGGATTTAGGGTCTGGGGGGAGGGCGCATCAAAGTTACTGTTGCAAATGTTACACTTACTATTGAAATTACGGTGCCGCTGCTGATGTTCGTGCTTATCACTATTACTCATTACCTTTCCGATTATACTATCACTTATTACTGCTGCTGTTATGGAACTGTTACTCCTACTTCTTCAAGGCCTGAAGGCCGACGACTTGAGGCCATTTAGTCATTTAGCAGACTGTAGGATCTTATAGGCAGAGAACCAACCCTCTTTGAAACACGAAAAAAAACACAGGAAAAGATAATCAACTTCTGAGATGCGCGAGAAAACGGCACCTTCTGATCCGCGGTCAGACATCCTCGCACACTGCCAAGCAAGTCGCGTGGATTCGAGAGGCTCATTAATTTGGTAGCTTCGCAAAATACATGGGCCCCAAGATAGATCCCGATCTTTTACAGACCTTCTTACGGAGAGACCCCCAAAAAGTTCCATTTTCGCTGCACTGGGCTTGGAATGTTGCGGCTATCATTGGCGTTCTTGCTGCTTTCAACATTGCGTACTATAATATATACTTATAAATACTATAACTTACTCTGACATACTGCAATATACTATAATTTGCTATAGTCGTTCCATTTTCCTATAGTATATTGCTGCCACCGTCAGTGCTAGAAATCCCACCTTTACCGGAGGCCAAGGTCAGAGTTTCCAATTCAGCTTGGGCTTTGAGCATTTTGTAGGTGGACCCCCCACCCAGTAATAGCAACGATAAGGGATCATATGGATCATATTAGGGTCCTCTTCTATATCCTGTTGTACCACTATTACAGGGTGGGGGGTCATCCTAACTCCATGTTATGGAACCCAGAAGCTTGGGCAGACGCATCAGGCCTAATACTCCCGAGGTGGAAATCTTGTGATCCTCGTTTACTTCCGCTGCTCTAAGATAAGCCAAGCATCATTCTAGCCAATACGCTGGCCCTGTCGGCGTTTGACATGTCTTCAAACTCCTTGCCTGTGAGGGACTTGGCGCTCGCATCCTGAGCTCCGGCGGAGCAATGATCTTTTGGTGGTAAGATCCGGCAAGACGACTTCCGTTCTGAATTACCTGTTGCACCTGGTGAACTCATGTGTTAGCTATCCGCGGGCACTCGGGTTGGAGTTGGGGGCCTCCGGGTGGAGGGAGTTGAGCAGCCCACAACGCATCTTTACCTCATTTCCTGCGAGCCTATGCGATATTCTGCATTGATCTCGGCAATGCTGCCCAAAATCACCCTTTCGCGCCTGTCGCATTTCCAGTTACCTAGGCGTTACGTGGGCATATGCCAAAAGTTAATGCATCGGCTGGGCAGGCGGGTTGCAAAGCACTAGTTTTATGTTAGCTGTTACAGGACTGTACTTATAAGCGGCTCCAGGTCGTAAGTTGGATTCTCCTACCTAGCTAATGGCTGCTCTCTCATGGATCCTGTCATGGCCCGCCAAAGGCACATCCGCCCTGCGGAGCCGCCCAGGAGAAATGGCCAGCTTATGTCGGTGTTGCTTAGCTTCCCGAATTTCAACGATGGATTTTGACCCCCCACACTCAGAAGACGTTGGTTGCTTTGGTTTTTGGGAAGTCTACTACCGCTTTGACAAATTTTGGGGCTCTGCCTTGAAGAGCCCCTTGCCATACCCAGAGCGCACTGTACAACCTGGTAACCTGGGGCTCCCAGAAAGGTCATCTTCTGATCATGGTAAACTCTAAACGATGCTCCACACATCCTCTTCCTCAAGTTTAACCCAAGACTGACCACCAAACCCTAGACCCCTGCAACCAAAGCCCTGAACCTACATCTTAGCCCCTGAACCTGAACCCTCAACTCTCAAACCATCCCTGTTACAAGCGCCCCAGCATTCCAAATGCAGCCGCTCAAGATGGTTCTCAATAAGCGCGCTTCTAGCGATCGTGCTACTTTACTTGTTCCGACTTCGCCTCATGTCCTTGCACGAAACTTAGGGCCCGAAACAGGGTATTATTGCTAACCCTGTTCCTAGCTATGGGTCTCCAGTGCAAGCCGTAAACTGCAAACCTTCACCTCTAAATCCCAAGCGTCCCGAAACCCTTCCCTCCAGTGCCTAAGCCCAAAACCCCACCCCCACTGCTCAACCCCGATCCCATAACCCCAATCCCTGAATTTTGTTTCTCGTCTGGGCTCGCACCCAGCCAAACCCCGAACATCCCCAAGCCCTAGATTCTAAACCCGAAATAGCAGCTTCCATTTTCCTTTCTGTTATCCCTATATATTACCTATATAACCCCTATATGTTCCCTGTATAACTCCTTCTCTATTCCCTATATTATCCCGATATAGAGGCATAGCTGAGGCAAGCTTCGGAGTCCGGAGAAAGGATTCCAAGCTGTCGGGAGATCGCTTCCGCAGTGGCCTCGCGTCATGGTTGGGGGTAGTTGGGGGGGGTTTACGGTTTAGGGTTGCTGGGGTTGGTGCTCCGGTTTTGGGGGGGCTTAGAGTTTAGAGTTTGGAGTTGGAGTTTAGAGCTTAGGGCATTGCAAGGCATTCCATTGACAAGCTTTCAGCTAGCCAGTGCAAGGCGAAAGTGGCATAAGCACCCAAAACTTACAAAGGCACTACAGCCAATCTCCACATCTGATTGATCCCTCCAAGCTAGGATTGCGCGAAATATCAAGCGGAGGTTTAGGGTTTAGTGCCAAGGTTTCAGGGCTCATGCATTTTGGAGTTTGGAATTTGGGGGGCTGTGGGTTGAAGGTGCGAGCATATGGTAT